TCAAGAAAACGGTCAAGAAAAAATTGCCATTATTTCGCGTGTGTGTCCAAGGAATTTTGACATTTTTGATACCTCACAGCCTGTTGCCTCACTCTTTCCCCAACAAATAATGGAACGGGCATATATTTCTGTTGCAAACTTGGGTTGCCTTGTGCTCTTTTTTCACAAAAAACTGTAGAAAACCGTAGTAGAAAGCGTAGTAACATTCTTAAGAACTGCGTATTGCCTTAAAAAAATTTGACTCAAGAAAATTTCGTAGCCATTTCTTGTACGTCATTTTATATGGAGTTTTTGCGTTTCTTGAGAGCTGCATACAGGCTAAAGGTCTGCAAATATACCAGCAGAAATACTCTTCACATGTGTACATGAGTAAATGGAACATAAATTTTAGAGTACAAAAAAAGATAGGAAGAAAAAAAGAGAACATCATAAATTTGAATAACTGAGCAATGTTACTCAACAGTGCTCTGCTACATAAAACACTGTTCCGCTTTTCCAAAACACTTGAGTATATTGATTGAATTCAGCAGTATTTGAAAACTTCATAGGAAGTATACGAATACTTATGAAGTTTTTTCTTTCAAAATGTTATCATTTAACATAATGTTAAATTCATAAATTTTATTTTCATTGTCGAATTTGATTCGTTGAAGAAAGGGGGCTTATTTTATTGTTTCGCGCAACTAGGGTTTAGCTAACATTTTGCATTGTGTATTATTTGAACTCTCGTTCGTGTGATCCACAGAAAAATTATCTTAAAGAAGTGAGTAAAATATAAAAGAAAAGTGTTTTAATTATAAACGAATATTGATAAAAATTACACAGGTTTACAAAAAAAGTGTATGCATATTAAACCAAACCCTATGTTATTCGACAGGCTGAATGCGAATCCGAGGTCCGTTAGCCTCTGTCACGTCAGCTTCGTGGTCAGTTGAACGTCAAGCAGGGAAAAATGCATTGAATAAACCTGAAAATTCATATATGTGGGGTTTTAGAACCCGAATCAGAGGTCCGTTAACCTCCATAGTGTCAGGTTCGAGGTCAGTTGAGGGTCAAATAGGACAAAAAATTTATTCAATTAAAATAATGTTTTTTTGTTTTAGTTGTCGCTGAATCCGAATATGGGGGTCCCTTGATTCCTCAAGGTCATCTATACGAATTTATTGAACTTCCAGGTTTATTCAATGAATTTTTCCCTACTTGGCCTTCAACTGACCACAAATTGACGTGGTGGGGGCTAACGGATTTCGCATTCAGCGTGTCAAATAACATAGAGATATATATAGGTTTGGTTTAATATGCATACACTTTTTTTTCTAAACCTGTGTTATTAAGCTATCACCATTAAATTTAGCATCAGCAATGGAAACTGAAAGCCAACCATCCAAAATCCCACCAATGCGCAAATTAAAACAAAAATTTCAAACGGAGAATATAAATTGGTACAAAGGCAAGGTAGAAGCAGGGTGTGGGAGTTTTACGCAGGAATTCAAAATGAAGACGGACAAGGAATCGACAATATTGTGGCATGCAAAAGGTGTAACAGCGTTCTAAAACTCAACGACAAAAGCACGTCAAATTTGTTGAAGCACAAATGCTATCTCATTTCTAGTAGTAGTAGTAGATAACGAGTCCAAAAAAAATGTGTACGCGTTGTAACACAGTGGGCAATTGAGAACTGCAGATCTTTTAAAATTATATCTGATATGTACATCGCAATTTGGTTATGATCGGTGAAGCAGTTTGGTAAAAAATAACGTTTCTTCTTTAACAGGTCATCCGCAGATAACCCATATGGAATGCTTATTCATCCCATATTTTAAAACGCTCCTTGGAGGTGTTGCTGTGGGAGTCCCTTTTGTCTCTCGCTCGGCATTGGGCTAGCTGGGTATTAGCCTTGATAATTCCCTACATTGTTTTTCCATGTCTGTTAACATTATGTAGTATTTATTAAACGAAAACATATTCAAAAAATACTTGTGAAGGAACATATTTTTTGTGGAAGTTTAACACCATAGTACTGCTTGTTTATGTTTTTCTTTTTTTCGGAACATATTTTGTTTGAGTACTTTTTTCATGTATACAGTGCTCAAAATTTTCACTTCTCTTCCTTCCATGCCCTCTTTGTTAAAGTATGAGTAGTTTACATATTTGAAAAAAACTTCACAGTGAAGCAAACTGAATTCCGATGCAGACCTTTAATACAGGCCTTTACTTGTAACTTGCAAGTTCAGCTGTCATTTTTGCTCTCTCAATTCCCTCTCTTTTGCTGGTTTCTTGCAGTGTTGCCAGTAACTGGGTTAATAAAATCCCGTCTAAATACAACCTAAATCCCGTTTTATACTAACGATATAACAGAAATACCGCGCTGTATGTATCTATTATACATAAAATGCTTTCGGATGAAAAATACAAGTATGTATGTGCATTAGGGCGCTTCTTTTTGAGACTATTTTTTCACTCCTACCTCTAAATTTTGTGGAAAACACCTAAAAAAATCTCCCTGAAAATTTGAAAACTTAATATTAAAATTAAGTACTCGCCCAAGGCATGGAATGATTTCTCATATAAAATACAAGTAAACTTTGATTTTTTTCAAAACTCCACAGCTCTAAGGCATTTTATGGTATAATCTTGGTCTATGATGGGTTTTCTTCAGAATTGAATGCTCTACAAAAGTGTCCATTGCAGCGTAATCCTTACTCCCACCAGCGAGGTAGTACAGGTCACTAAACCCAATTTTTCATGAAATTCTCGTGCATTCAGTTTCCTACAAAAATAATTCTATGAAACCAAATCACTAACTTCGATATTTCTTGATATATTGGACTTTGAAGTTGATCAACAAATTCTACAATTTAGCTAAATACTCCGTGAAAATTCCACACTACCTCAACTTCAAAGCCCAATACCTCAAGAAATATCGATGTTGGCGATTTGGTTTTCTGAAAGTTTTTTGTAGAAAATTGAATGTCCCACAAGTTTGTCGTTTACATTTTTTCTGCAGCTCTTGTTATTTACCAGATAGGGGCAAAAAACGAGAATTTCATAAAAAAAATTGGGTTTAGTGACCCATGTAGTACGCTGGTGGGAGTAAGGATTACGCCGCAATGGACACTTTTGTAGAGCATTCAATTCTGATGAAAACCCATCATTGACCAAGATTATACCATAAAATGCTTCTGAGCTGTAGATTTTTGAAAAATAAAGATCAAAGTTTACGTTTATTTTATATCGGAAATCTTTGCACGCCTTGGGCGAGTACTTAATGTTAATATTAAGGGTTAAAGTTTTCAGAAAGTTTTTTTTTTTATGTGTGACACAAAATTTCGAGGTAGGGGTAAAAAAAACAATAGTCGCCAAAAAAATCACCCTAATGTACATAGATATGCAATACACATAAGATTTGTATAGATTAAGACGGGTCAATTTTATTTTTTTTTTTTGACTATGCGCGTATAGCATAAGAGGATTCTACTTGTAATTCGACGCAACTTTGCCGTAGAAACCATCGGTCTAAAATCAATTATGAGTTTGCCATATTGCGAAAAAAGGCTCAGAAGAAAATGTGGAAATTTTTACTGTTGTGCCCTCTGGCGGAAGTTTTAAGAAAAAGAGAAGTGCAGAAATGGATTCCTCATACAAAAAACACCCTACTGCATGTTTTTGTACAAAATTTATGCAATTTTTTACGATACTTCAGCAAGGTGCTAAGAAACCTATTTTCGCAATTTGGCAAATTTCAAATTGATTTTAGAGCCAAGGTTTCTTCGGCAAAGTTGCTTAGAATTACACATATGTACCTATGTGCAATACGTGCATAGTCGAAAAAATCTCCCATACAAATTTACCCGCCATTATATACCTACATATTTTAAACAAACAGCCTTTTCATTCGTTTTCGCGTTTAAATTGATCAGATGGCTGACATTTCATTGGCTAATCTTAGTTTAAACCAGCCAGCTCGGGTGTTTAAACTATGTTTAAACCACATTTTTAAAATTAAGAAAATTATGTCGAGCAAAAATAAAACTACTCAAAAACGCGAATATGTGGTAGATTTCAAACCTTGTGTGGTAGATGTGGTAGATGCTCAAAAAAGTGGCAGATCTATCACAATGTGGTAGTAGTCCGATCACTGACGGGCACTGCCTTGGCCGCGGGCAAAGCTCTTTTAAGCTTGATATAAAGTTCAATGCGAGCGTGAACTTTCGCAAAGGCAAAGAATTCCATTTGTATTCTTATGGACGCTCACACACATCTGTCAAAACTTGCCGTTCACATGCGAATGCTTTGCGTACGCACACAGTTGAGTGTGAGCTCGAAAAAAGGCATATTATGCATTTTAAATTAGTTTTTATTCTATAATTCTGAAAGATATTTAAATTCTCTATCTTTTCATGTCTCAACTATATATAAAAAGTTGAGTAATAACGAAGATATTGGTCAAAATAAAAAGCTCACGCTCACGCTCACATTGAACTGTATATCAGGCTTTAACCCTGCCAGCATTTTCTATCGCTGAAGTAACTAGTTCGATACGACATTTCTGTGAAACTCATCGCCGGTGATATCGCTACTTTTTCCAATTCTTATCCGCTTTCGGGAAGAACTGTTCCACCAAAGCGTTACGTCATTATGATGCGAAAGCGATACTAACATTAGGAACTATTTCGATAAGAAAGGAAGTTTCTGGGGCGATAAGATGAGAACTGTCGAAAGAGATACTCATAGAGGAAAAGTTTTGGATAAAATTAAATTTGAAAATAGAAAGGAGTCTAGCTTGCAATTACACTCTCATCGTGGCGACTTATCTATGCAAATGTAATTGCAAACTTGAAAATCCTTAGGGATTTTGTTTGTTTTTATTTTTTCATTTTTATTCAACCACGATAAAAACATTATTTAAATTCAAAGTTAAAAACGTTATTTAGTTAAATGTTTAGTAAATTAAAAAATTAATTCAAAGTTTTTTAGAAATAACAAAAACTTATTATAGTTTACTTATTTGTTGTCATTCTTTTTTGCCTTTTGCATATCCTATCTCTTGCATGGAGAAAACGTTGCTGACAAATTTTATTTATTTCCAGGTCTGTAAGGTTGCTAAATTTAATATGGCAAATATCTGTTGAAAAAAAATGTCACTAATTTGTTTAAAAATTATTTCGACAAAAAGACGAACCTTTTATAAACTGAAAAGTGGCAAATTTTTGGAAGCTGGGCTTTTCTGCCGTACCGCGCCAAGTCATCCCCACAGCAAGTTCATCTGCAATTATACTCTTAATGGCCATTTTGAGAAAGCAAGGTGCACTATTTCCTCCTACTTTTTGGATCGCTTCTTTCTGTATGTTGCAAGAAACGGGATTTAATAAACGAAAATATTTTTTAAATCACCCGCCAATCATAAATTGAACTCACGAATGCAACTCGTATTTCTTCATTAGCTAAAAGTTTTGAGTCAAATTCTTCAAAACAGGCAAGTGAAATAAACGGCTGAGACGGCAAAAGTATAACATCACTTTCCACCGAATGTAGCTTCTTTAGTTCTCTAATCTCTGTTTGAAGAGTTATTACCTCCTCCGTCAATCTTTGAACAAGTTTCTGATTTGCCTCCTGATTATTATTAGTTTGTGCTTTCAATGAACGCAATTCTTCTAAAATTTCAGGGATTGTTCGCGGCTCATCTACTTGTGATGGTTGCATTTCTAAATCAATAATAAATTTTTATTCAGAGGAATTCTAAACTGCAATTTTTCTGTATGTACTCTGAATATGAAGTGAACCTACCTTGACGTGCATTACTTAAGTTTATGTACTGGACTTCATCATTACTTTGCTGGTGATTTCCATATGAATGTGGGATCAAACTCTCTGCTAAAAATAAAAATGTTTCAATACACTCTTAAATATATCTTAATGGGTCGTATGCATAAAAACTAAGCAATTGTTTTTTCTTAAAATATCATACCTTTCACTAAAATTTATTTGAACAAATGGAGTAAAAGGTTTGTAACTTAAAAAAAGCATTTGCTTTTTTTATGCATACGGCTCAATGTATACACTTTTCATTATTACCTGTTTTTGAAAAATTGTATAATGCCATTATAATATAAATGGTAATACAGCAATAGAGTCTTTAGGAGTTCAGCAAACAATTGCCTTCTTTTGAATTTCTTTTAGAGAAAATTTTATTTCAATACCTAAACTGATTTCATTAGCAGCATAAATGTCTAAGTTTACGGAGTTTATAGGTTGCAAAAAAAGTGGTTTCAGGTTTTTTATTATATTTCCTTCAAAGTAAGGTATATTATCAATATTTGTTATATTTTTAATTTTCACAACTTTATCGCCCACAAAGCAAAAACTAACCTTGTCCTCAATGGAAAAGTAACATTTAGAAGTCTTTACATAAGAATAACAACCTTCGGTTGTCCTTTTTTGGCTAAAAAATATGCCCGTTGATTGGTCCCGTTGCTTTAACGAAATACTTTTTTCTACTTCTCTATTATAAAGCTGCGCAGAGACATTTTTTGATTTCCTTACTCGCTTTTTAATCTGTTGCAGGTGATTTTCGAATCTGAAAGCGCTTATGCTTTCCAATGATCCATAAGCTTTCGCGTCTTCGTGGATATGCAACAGATAATGAAAATTGCACGTTAAAAATGATAGGCTATACAAGGAAGGAACATCGATAATAAAATTACGAAGCAAGTTTCGTGCATATTCATTATTTACTCGGCAATTTTTTTCCTCTAATAATATTCTTGGTTGCAATTGCTAATTTAAAAAAATGTAATAGTCTTTCTTGTGAAAAAAACAATAATATATCAAAAACTGACGGAACTCAGTTGCTTTCCATCGATCAAGATCATCCAATGATCGTGGTTTTCTCGAAAACTCGCGAGGAATATGCAATTTTATCTTCTCTAGTTGTGTAGATAAAGTAGCGATTTGGCCGGAAGTAAAAGAGAAATCTTCTCCCTTTTTCTGTGTCCAAGCTTTCAAAAGAGTTTTTGTGACCCCAAGGCAAATAATATGCATGTAATCTAGCCCTATTTGATTAACCATGTCAATTGGAAGTTTTTCGATTACAGTTTCACTTTGTTGCTTATGATGCTCTGGGTGAGAACGACTTCTAAATGATTTGTCATCGCGTAATGGAGAATTTTCAACAGGAAATACGAGACGATTTTTGAACATTTCTCCTTTTTGCAGGCAGCGTGTGCAAGAGTAATAGCCACTGTGACCTTTGGTACCCAGCACAAAAGCTCTTGCTGGGGTATCCATTACAAAACACCGTATTTTAATTTTGTAAAGCTTATTTTTGAAGCGTATTCCGTTTTCAACTAAATTATTCATTTCAGTAACAAACTCGGATAAAAATTCGTTTTGATTTTTTGGCTTCGAGTAGCCTTCATATACACCTATTAAATGTATCTCGGGATAGCCTGGTACATTACATAAAATAGGCCATACTTGTTTTTTCGAGCTTTTGCACAGTGGCAGGCCATCAATATTAAAATCCAATTTAACGATTTCGCCGTGATCGCCATTGACCATTAAAAAATCAGTAAGCGCATCCTCGACTCCATAATGAGTGTAAAAACCTTCGCCCATACTGCGCGCTACAACGTCTCTCGGAGTCTTCATTAAAGTTCGGCAATCTTTAGGTAGCACATTTTCTCCCTTCTCCACCCTCAATATTCCCAATAATTCGTTTAGGGCTCTATAGCAAATATTATTCGCAACAGCCCATTGCCTTAGCTTCTCTACAAAAGTTAGATTTTTATTATACGATATTTTTTCTTCTTCTTCACTTTTGGTTGCATCACTTATGTCGTCTTCACTGTCGCTCCTACTTAAATTTTCTTCTTCTACATTTTCAAAAAAGTTTTCTTCGACATTTCGTTTCTTTGCGGCACTTTCATCGCCATATAAATTTCTTATAATTTTCGCTGCTTCTCTTTTACTTTTCATTTTAATTGCTTTTAAGGATCTCATTTTTGCTTTATGCTCTATTTAATTGAAATTTATTGTTTATTTAATATTTAAGTATTCGCTGAAACTCACTTTTATTTAAATACGAAGATTATAAAAAAAAAAATTTGCTATTTAACGCTATTATTTTAATATTCTTATTACACGAATCTTAGATTTCTCTTAAAAAAACGTACACGCCAAAATCTTAAACGAAAAGAAAACACAAACATACTTTTTTCAATTTCAAATTATTGACAAACGTTTCTACGTTACAGTAATTTATCGTCTGAATATCTGCTTGGCGAATAAAATTCCGTTAAAAGTGTATGTTGTTTTTGTGTAGTGAGTTACTATCCCCTTTTTAACTTACAATGGTGACGAAATAGTGACATCTTGGCGATTGGCGATAAAATTCTCTTCCAATTGCTGGCAGGGAAGCTTTCTATACATTTTGTATAGGCGCGAGCCTGCCCATCGCTGGTTAATAACGATAAAAATAGAGAGAACAGTTAAAACCATGATAAAAACATTACAAGGTAGATTCATTCTCTCACGTCGTCGGCCATGATTTTTTTCTGACGTTTGCAAACATTTTAAAATCATATAAAATTGAAAATAAAAAAACTAAATTGTTCATAATTGTTGTTGTTTGAGATTAAAAATGAGAATGTGTGTGTGAGCTTGGGTTCGAATTTTATAATTATATTGTTGGCAAACGTCAGACTGCTTCTCAATGGTTTTACCTTGTTATGTCGATCTATGATAACCTGTGGTATCGTTTTCGCTAAAGCGACCCTAAAAGTGTGTTTGCATTGTTCAACTTTGCGTTCAACTCAGCGCAGGGTTGCACGAAAAAAAAGTTGAATGCAAAGAGAGTGTAAGATTGGCAACCCTTGCGACGACGGACCCAACGAACGTTGGCCAACACTCAACTTTTGACGCACGTAAGTCCGTCACTGCTGACAGTTGTATAACCCCGCGTTTACACATGGCAAGACCAATGATAATATGCACATAATTTACACATTGTAAATTAGGCATCCAGACAATAAACTGTCTTTGTAAAGCCATAGACAGTGATGAAGACATCAAGAGAAGTGGGGATATATTAGTAAAAATGTGAATGTTTTGCTATTGTATCTGAAAAATTAACTTGTGTAGACCCCAAGTACGCGGCCATAAGGAACAGCTGATTTTTGTTTGCAGACGCAACACCTTCTTTGTGGCGTTTTTCTACGGTACGTACGCCACTTCCTTCGCAAACTTTTCCGTTATTGACGTACAAGTACCCATTCTGACGGGCCTAATACTTACATACTTACACATAACAGCGAAATACGTATCTGTTGGTTTTTCTTTTACATTAGTAGTAGTATGTGTGAAAGTATTGTATCTTTTATAGACTTAAAAAACATAAATATTTTATTACATACATACCAGGGCGGGGCAATTTATTTATTGTGCGCGTGTAGCATAGGAGGATTGTACGCGTAATTCTAACCAAATTTTCTGAAGAAACCGTGGGTCTAAAATCAATTTGTAGTTTGCCATATTTCGAGAAGAAGTTTCGAAGAAAATGTCAAAATTTTAACTGTTGGTCCCTCTGGTGGAAGTTTTAACAAAAAGGTGAGTGCAGAAATGGACTCCTCATACCAAAAAGCCCCGTATAGCAGATTTTTATACGAAATTAAAGCACTACTTTACGACACTACAGCAAAATGCCAAGGAACCTATTTTCACAATTTAGCAAACTCCAAA